TGGAGAGATGGCTCAGTGATTAAGAGCACTGACTGCTCTTCCAGAGGATCTGGATTCAATACCCAGCACCCACATGGCAGCTAACAACTGTCTGTAACTCCAAGATCTGACACTCTCATATAGTAATAAGTGCGGCGGGGCTGCGTCCCCAGCACCCCGGCTGCCTGGCTAGCTTATGCCCGAAATAACAACACACAAACTGTATTCATTTAATCACTGCTTGGCCCATTTCCATCTAGCCTCTTCTAGGCTAATTCTCACATATTAATTTAGCCCATTTCTAATCATCTAGGTGCGCTTACCGGGAAGATTCTAGCCTATATCCATCCTGGGTCGGAGCTTCATCACGTGCATCTGCCTGGGAGCTAGGAGCATGGCGTCTCTCTGAGGCATCTGCTCCCGAGAGGAGAGCTGCGGAGTCTGAGCTCACTTCCTCTTCCTCCAGCGTTCTGTTCTGTTTACTCCTCCCACCTATCTTCTAACCAATGAGGGCCAAGCAGTTTCTTTTTATTTAACCAATGACCTTCCTCCATCACTCTCATACAGACATACATGCAGGCAAAACTTCAATGCCCATAACAAATCTTAAAAAAAAAAAAAAAGAATCCAAGACCATCAGCCTAGGGATGATACCACCCACAGTGGGCGTTACCCCCCATATCAATCATTAATTAAGAAAGTGCTCTACAGTCTTGCCTATAGCTCAATCTCATGAAGGCATTTTCTCAATTGAGATTCCCTCCTCTCAGATGACTCCAGCCTGTGTCAAGTTAATATAAAATTAGCCATCACAGGGGTACAGTTCTGGTCTGAAGAAGAGATTCATAGCAGATCAAGAGGGTTTGCTACACTTGGCAATGTGGGATAGTTCCTAGAAGTCAGGAATTCCCAGCATATGAAAGGCAGACCACTGTGAATATATCCAGATTTGGCCAGAGTCCACGAAAAAGGAGAGAATATTGAATAAACCTGGACAAGGATAGGAAACTGATAGAACCTGAAAAAGGCGATAAGATCTCGCAAACTTCTACGCTTACGTTCATAGAAAGAATTAAGGCATATGGGGCTTAGAGCTCTCATTTGAAATGCTAGCATCCAGAAAGCTCATGCATAAATATCTCAAGTACATAGAAAAACCGTCATCATCATCATCATAATAGTAACAAAGACAGTAATACAGTAAGAGTTGACATTAGGAGATGGGAGATACACAAAATGTGGAAAGCACACCAGACTCAAAGTTGCCTACACTCTGGCCTTTGCTCTGCTTGCGTAGGTTCTGTATCAGTGGTGGTCTACACTGGTGGCTTCCCTCTGCTTGCATAGGTTCTGTATTAGTAGCAGTTTATACTGATGACTTCACTCTGCTTGCATAGGTTCTGTATCAGCGGCGGTCTACACTGGTGGCTTCCCTCTGCTTGCGTAGGTTCTGTATCAGTGGTGGTCTATACTGATGACTTCCCTCTGCTTGCGTAGGTTCTGTATCAGTGGTGGTCTACACTGGTGGCTTCCCTCTGCTTGCATAGGTTCTGTATTAGTAGCAGTTTATACTGATGACTTCACTCTGCTTGCATAGGTTCTGTATCAGCGGCGGTCTACACTGGTGGCTTCCCTCTGCTTGCGTAGGTTCTGTATCAGTGGTGGTCTACACTGGTGACTTCCCTCTGCTTGCATAGGTTCTGTATCAGCGGCGGTCTACACTGGTGGCTTCCCTCTGCTTGCGTAGGTTCTGTATCAGTGGTGGTCTACACTGGTGACTTCCCTCTGCTTGCATAGGTTCTGTATCAGCGGCGGTCTACACTGGTGACTTCCCTCTGCTTGCATAGGTTCTGTATCAGCGGCGGTCTACACTGGTGGCTTCCCTCTGCTTGCATAGGTTCTGTATCAGTGGTGGTCTATACTGGTGGCTTCCCTCTGCTTGCGTAGGTTCTGTATCAGTGGTGGTCTACACTGGTGGCTTCCCTCTGCTTGCATAGGTTCTGTATCAGCGGCGGTCTACACTGGTGGCTTCCCTCTGCTTGCGTAGGTTCTGTATCAGTGGTGGTCTATACTGGTGGCTTCCCTCTGCTTGCGTAGGTTCTGTATCAGCGGCGGTCTACACTGGTGGCTTCCCTCTGCTTGCATAGGTTCTGTATCAGTGGTGGTCTACACTGGTGGCTTCCCTCTGCTTGCGTAGGTTCTGTATCAGTGGTGGTCTACACTGGTGGCTTCCCTCTGCTTGCGTAGGTTCTGTATCAGTGGTGGTCTATACTGGTGGCTTCCCTCTGCTTGCGTAGGTTCTGTATCAGCAGCCACAGCAAAACACCATAGTCTGTGGTAGCTTAAACTATAACATTCTTCTGTCATAGGTGTGGAAACTGGAAGCCCAAGATCAAATTGACAGCACGGATGACCTCTGGTGAGGGTCATCTTTCTGGCTTCTGACAATTGCCTCATCCCTGTGGCTCCACATGCCCCCATCAGTGTGAGAGAATGGGGATGAGAGAAAGTGAGCGATCTCATATCTCCTTTTCTAAGGACACTGATCCCGAGGACCACTCTTGACCTCATCTAATCCTAAGTACCCCTCCAAAGCTCCTTTCTCAAATACACCATCTTGAGACTTTGAACATTGATTGGGAGAGCTGCTCAGAGTATAACCTAAGACAGCAAATACTCATCTCTCACACATCCGCAGTTCACTAGATATGGGGGAGGGGGGTTGCACAAGACGCAGGTGCACGAGGAGAGCAGAGATCAACCTTGGGTGTCATTCCTCAAGAGCCGTCCATCTTGTTTGGACTCTTCCTCATTTGGGACTTCATTCAGGTGACTGAGTCCCAAGTCCATGTCTCCTTCCTCTGAACAAACTGTGCTATGGGGGCGGGAGACAAGAGTGTGAGAAAGCCCTTTTCACTCATCTGCTTGTATCACATCTGCTTGTTTCTGTTGAGCCAAGTCTGTTCACATGTAGCGCCATCTTGGTCACCCAGCACAGTCACTATATAGGGCATAAATGACCCCTCCCATCTCTCGAGGCTTTCAGAACTTTGTGTAAGATTGTTGCACTGTATTCTCGGTGATGGCTGTCCTCATATAATATTTAATGTGCAAATTTCACCCTACTAGTGAAACAGTTAAATAATACTTTAACTCTAGTTTTGAGGCAGCCTAGACAGGCATAGGGACATTACAGACTGAAGAAATCACAGAACCTTCTGACAGAATGACCAGTCAGAATTGACTGAGACCAACATGGCTGACCAAAATGACCACTAGCATCCTTCATTTCACTGTAACCACACCTCCGTATCTGAAGCCATGACCGCATTTTAAAATCCCATGGAAGGGCAGAACAATGAAATCAACTCTATTCCAAGGGAAATCCCCGTGGACTCATGGAATACCTTGCCTTCTCCCCATTTTAGTCCATGAACTATCCATCTTTCCACTAAATTTTGCTCATAAAACAAGCTGTCTAAAGTCCCACAATGAACTCTCTCTTGAGAAACCTACACTCATGCTTGAATGAATTTTTTTGCCCTGTAATAAATTCCCTACTGTATTTCCTTTTTGAGTTCTTTCTTCCTCACAGAGTCAAGAACCTGGAAACAGAGTAGAGGCCTCATTCTGGTGTCTGTCTCTGAGATCTCCTCAGTCTTCAGATACTGGTAGCAGTTAGAGCCGTGTTATATCTTACTGAAAATGAGATTTTTTTTTCTAAGTTCATAGGACTCAATTCAATCAAGGTTTAGGAACTAGGTATTCAGTTCAGTGGCGAATTTGGTTGTCTAGCATGCACAAGGCCCTGGATTCAATCACCAGCATTTAAAAAAAATAATCATAAACTCACACTCCAACGGGTTACCCTCTACCTCCCAGTCAATAGCCAGTCTTTCTCTGAAGAGGGCTGGGAGCTGCCTCAGACAAAGAGAAAGAGCAGTATGCACAGGGCCTATCTGCAGTAATTCTCATTCTGGCTGGGGACGTGGCTCAGCCGGTAAGGAATTTTCTGCCAAGCTGGAGAGCCTGGATTCAGTGGCTGGATGTAGGAGGAGAGAAGTGGCTGTTGCAAGTTATACACACGAAAGACACACACACACACACACACAATAAACATTTTTTAAAATTCGGAACATTCTATACCCTGGAAAGTTACAAGGTCCAGGGGAACCAGACAAGGAAAGCTATTGTCCTGACTTCATGAAGACACTGACGTTCTGATAATCTAGCTGTGGCTACTGCCTTCTAAGTTCTCAGGATAACTGAGACCAGGCAATTCCCTAAATGATAATGAATTAATGTAGAAGAAGTATATTTTTTTTAAGTACTAGAAACAGGTTGTACTGAAGTGTCAAATTTAGAGAGGTCCCAGAGGGACAGCATGACTCACATCACGCTAAGCATTAAGAACATGTCTGCCCTGCAGAGCTCAGCACAATAACACCTTCCTGGCTATGGTCATCGCCTCTGCAGATACAGTTGCCATAGCCACCACACTCTCTGCAGGGAGAGCCCACAGTTAGCCCAAAAGAGACCTCAGGAACAGAGTAGACAAGCCCTTGCCCAAGAGCACCCAAGGCCATGGAACTTGTCACTGGGAAGATGTTCCTTCTGGAGTCCGGGAACACACATATTCCTCTGCTGAGTCAAGCCCATGCCCTGTTTAGAGCATAGAGGATCTATGCCTCCCAGAGCCCGCCTCTGCCTTGACAAACGCATCATGCTGACTAAGGACAGACTGTCCAGGACAGCACCTTACCCTGCATGGCACCCACCTGCTGAGCATGGGCTAGCCCTCCCTGCCCACTGACACTCAGATAGCATGTCCGCTTCTGAGTGTCGGGAGAACTCACAAGCAGGATCCAGTCACACAACGACAATATAACATTATTTGGGGATCTCTTTCCCTGGGGAGACTTAAACAAACAACCGCTTTGTTATCAGTCACCAACGGCAAATCAAAGTCCAACTTTCGAAACTAATGAGTTCATGTGCTCGCTTATAGAGCACGGTGAGCAGTGTGGGTGACCCCAAAGTACCCGCACCACTGGGGAGTCTCATCCCAGCGTGTTTGCCGATTTTCACCACGATCGCACGGATGGAGTCCCACTTCAGACAACCTTCTACGGTCCGTATGCTCTAGCACCTTCCACACGCTAGCTAATAGGGTGGCTGGGAGGTGCAGAAGGCAGTGGCCAGATTCTTAGGTGAGAATCCACTGATCCCCGCCCCCACCACTTCCCTCCTTCTCTGAGGGAGTAACAGTCAACAGACAGAATCTGGGGCGGGGGAGGGGAGGCTGCAAGTAGTCACAGTTCCTCTGAAGCAGATGGCGGCTGCTCTAACAGAGGACAGCTCTCTACCTCGAAGTCGAGCAGTAGGCTCAGCAGTGGGGGCCTAACAGGAGGACCCAGTACCCTGCCCACACCCCTGCCACCCCTCGTTCCTGCCCTCCTGTGGCTGAATGGGGCATGCTCACTGACAGGGCATTTGACTATATAACCACAGTGACTTCAAGACCCGGTAGGGAGAGGCTGCCACACTGAGGCCTCTCCCAGCACCCGTGGCTGTAATGATTGGATTCTCAAGGGGAAAAAATGAGAAACGGGGACTGAGTGTGGAGAGATAACGGGAAAGCCTCCCCACCCCCCCCACACACCCTTCCCGCCGTCCCCCCCACCCCCCCCCCTCACCCCGCTAGAGGGAGCTAGATCCTAGGAACACCTAGACCCAGGCTGATAGCTCACATCAGTAGCCCCAGCACTGGCAGAAGTGGCCGTCCAAAGTTTGGCTACATGGAAAGATTTGAGGTCAGCTTGAGCTACATGAGATCCTGTTTCTTTAAAAAAAAAAAAAAATATATATATATATATATATATATATATATATATATATATTATTTGAGCCAGGCAGTGGTGGTGCACACCTTTAATCCTAGCATTTGGGAGGCCGAAGAAGGTGGGTCTCTGTGAGTTCAAGGCCAGAGTGGTCTACAGAGTTCCAGGACAGGCTCCCAAGGCTACACAGAGAAACTCTGTCTTTGGGGGGGGAGGGAGGGGAGAAAAGAGAAAAAAAAAGTAAACCATTATCTGACCATCTAAGAGAAGCCGAACTGAGGACACACCTTGTACTCCTAGCACTCAAGGGGCTGAAGCAGAAGGACCTCAAATTCAAGGCTAGCCTGCACTACATAGGAAGACCCTGTTTCCAAAAGCTGAACTAAACACTATAAGTTTTTACCCAAAGCAGCTAAGCAAGCAGCTTCAACACTGTGTTCATTCAGCCTTTTTTTTTTCACTTGTTTAGTAGACGGTGTGACTTCTAAGAGGCCTTTCACTGTGTCCGGAAAATGCTCAATCACCTACGCAAAAGGAAAACCAGGATGGAAGTGAGTGTCTGGGTGTTGCAGGAGACGGCCCTCAGAAAGCAAGTGTCTGTGAACACAGCCTATCCTTGCCCTTATCCGCCCACTGCCCCTCAGTCCTCACAAGGAGTATCCCATCAGCAGAGGGACACCATGCTGAATGCTACAGAGTGAAATACAAAAGCCTGTGGTTAGAGATTTTATTACGATTTTTCTCCAACCAGGCTTTACCAATCTCTCTGACCTGGGAAAGGTATTACCCATGTGTCTTTCAGGACAAGACAGGGTGTCAGGAAAACAAAGCTACCATGTCTACACCAAGACAACGCCTTCTGAAAACAAAAACCCACTGTTCAGAGGCGCTGCATTGGAGCTCACCCCCAGCGTCTTTGCCTGGGGACAACTTGCTTTGTGTCAACCACCTCGGTGATGTCAGATGCTGAGGAGGACGCCCCTGCAAGTTGCATCTCTTTATGAATCTTGCATGACAGCGCTTCTCTTCTTAAGCACTGGTAATCTGTTTGATGTTAGCAGAGATGGATGAGGGGCCTTGGGTGTCAGCCGAGAAGCCGACGGACGGCAATTGTGGCAATAAATAATCGTAAGGCTTTCCAGTTGCATGGCCTTGACAATTCAAGGGTCTCAAAATATAGCTGAAAGCTCGAATTATCGAGAAAGGGCAACTCGTTCATCCTCCCAACGTCTCACACGAGAGCTGGGAAGAAGCAAGATCCCTCATAAACCCCTGGCCCTGCCTGACGCACGGACTGTTGGCTTCCTGGTGAGAACACACACCTGGGATAAAGACAGACAAGATAGAGCTTTTTCATTGCTCTGAGGGACAGGGAAAACTTTGGAAGTCAAGGGCAGATGACCCTGTGAGCTCGAGAGTCCTCCCAGAGAAATGAGAAGTTGACGGGCAGGCTGGGCAGTCCAAGCACCAGGGTAGTAGCAAATGCCACTTCTGACCACCAGAGGGAGCAGTTGCAGGAGACTGACACAGACCGTTCCCAACAGGAACAAGCTGGTGGCTTTCCTCTCTCCGAGAACCTACCTTCTTAAATGTACACATTCTTAACTGTACACATTCTTAACTGTCTTACAAGTCAGGCCAGGGCTTCTGAAACACTGGCTTCTCCCTCATGAGCCGGGCATACGGAATAAAAGGCAGCGTCAGGCAACGAAGCCTCCCTTTCAGGGGGACCCCACGAAATCCATTTCTAATCCCCAGGCACCGGCTTGAGGTGGAGGCCTACATACCAGTTGCAACTACAAATGAGACTTTCGCTTTTCTCAAAATGATCTGGAGAAAGCTGTAGCAACACCCTGCTTCCTCCAGAGCCCTATAATCTTAACCTATTCCAGCCAAACCACACAGGGAGATTTCCGTTGTCTGTGAACGTGATGAGTCCTCATTCTCGTCTCTCTCCAGAAGTAGAGTGTTTGGCTTAGAAGAGCTTGAGCTACCCGCCGTCCTGCCCATGGAGAGCCTTATTAGCATCTCTGCTCTAAGGAGGCAGGTGTTTCCATGTCCCCCAACACAGGACAAGTAAGCTGGAATGAAGTTTGTAAACCTGACAGTTCCCTTCACTTACTCCTTAAATGTGAAAAAATACAGATTTTAAGAAGTAGCTGGATATGGTGATGGGAGCCTTTAATTTCAGCACTTGGGAGGCAGAGGCAGGTGGATCTCTATGAGTTCAAGCCCAGCCTGGTCTAAAAAAAGGGGGGGGGGGGCAGGGACAGTCAGGGCTATATAATAAGATCCTATATCAAGTAAAATAAATAAATAATAAAAATAAAGAAGAAAGACTGATGTGGGATCCTCTCTGCATGCTGTGAATATGTTTTATTACCATTGGCTAAAAAAGAAGCTGCTTTGGGCCTAAGACACACAGAATAGGGCAAGGCAGGAATTCCAAGCAGGGATAGAGGAGGAAGGCAGAGTTAGGGAGACACCACACAGCCACCGAAGGGGACAGATGCTCAGGAACCTTACCAGTTAACCAGGAGCCTCGTGGTAAAATATAAAATAATGGAAATGGGTTGATTTAAGATATAGGAGCTAGCTAGCAATATGCTTAAGTGATAGGCCAAACAGTGTTGTAATTAGTATAGTTTCTGTGTGATTATTTCAGGTCTGGGCGGCCGGGAAAGAAACAAGCAGTCTCCATATATGAAAGACTAGCTGAGGATATACGGCTCTGTGCGTATAAACCATTAACCTGAGTTCAGATCCCCAGAATCCATGTGAGAAGCAGATTTTTAGCACACCTGTCCATAATCCAAGCAGGCCCTGAAGCATGGAAAGTGGAGATATGACAATCACCAAAAGCACAGCAATGCCAGCACAGCAGTGAGCAAGAGACCCTGCATCAATGAAGCACAGGCAAGGACTGACACCCCGCAATCCTCCAGCCTCTGTTAAGGCACAAGCATGCACGCACGTGCAGGCACACACACATACATACACACTATACACACACACATACACAAACACTACACATATACATACATACACACACACACACACACACACACACAAAATGTTACGTAAGCAACACACACCAACAAAGGCAGGCGGATCTCTGTGAGTTCAAGTCCAGCCTGGTCTGCGTAACAAATTCCAGCACAGCCAGAGCTGTCTCAAACAACAACAAATACCATCAACTGGGGCTGGAGAGATGGCTCAGAGGTTAAGATCACTGGCTGTTCTTCCAGAGGTCCTGAGTTCAATTCCCAGTAACCACATGGTGGCTCACAACCATCTGTACTGAGATCTGGCGCCCTCCTCTGGCGTGCTGGCATACATGGAGGCAGAATGTAGTATACATAATAAATAAATAAATCTTTAAAAAAAAAAAACAAATACCATCAAGTAAATAAACAGTAGCAGCTGAAAAATGTTTAAGGAAAAAAAAACAACAACAAACGAAGCCCTTTCTATCAGGGTCTGTTTGTGGCTCAATCACACCATCCTAAGTATCAACATAGAAAGAAGAATAGAAGCCGGGCGGTGGTGGCGCACGCCTTTAATCCCAGCACTCGGGAGGCAGAGGCAGGCGGATCTCTGTGAGTTCGAGACCAGCCTGGTCTACAAGAGCTAGTTCCAGGACAGGCTCCAAAACCACAGAGAAACCCTGTCTCGAAAAACCAAAGAAAAAAAAAAGAAGAAGAAGAAGAATAGACAACATCAAAGCAAGGTAGTGGGTTAGGCATGGCGGTGCAAGTTTTTAATTCCAACTCCAGGAAACAGAGGCAGGAGGATCACGTATTTAAGGTGAAACCTTGTTGGGTGGTGGTGGTGCCCCTTTAATCCCAGCACCTGGGGGCAGAGGCAGGTGGATCTCTGCGAGTTCAAGGTCAGCCTGGTCTACAGAGCAGTTCCAGGACAGCCTGTATGGCACAGAGAAAGCTTTCCTCAAAAACCCAAAATAAATAAATAAGTGAGATCTTACATCAAAAAACACACATGCACAAAAAGAAAATGAAAGAATCTCATGCACAAAGCTTTCCAAAATTATAACTATTTATAAGAATTCAAGCTGCTGGGTCTTCCAGTCATAAAAATTCATCAGGAAAAAAAAAAAAATCTCAAAACCATAGCACAGAAGCACCCTGCCATCTGGTGGTCAAAAGTGGAATAGCCCCTCATGCTAAGCAAAACACTGAAAAGAATGAGTCTGGTGTACAGGAAGACAAACACAAAAACAGTTTTGTTGACTCTGAAGTCATTGAGCAGTGTGGGTCAGAATCCTAAAACAGCAAGTCCGCTTACCATTCTTCCTGAGGACCTCAGTTCGATTCCCTGCACACCCTGACAAGCACCAGGAGACCCGATTCCTCTGGGCTCTGCAGACGCCCACCCCCACGTGCCCATACCCACACTTAACATACAGATCTTGAAAAAAGAAAGCAATGGAGCTGTCCAGATGACAAAGGCAGGGGTATAAATAAGGCACTGAGTGTGTGGAAACAGTCTATCCGTACAGATGTCTGCTGATGGGGAAAGAGAAGCAGGACCAGTGTTCCCAGGACCGGCTGTGAATGAATGTAAACAGAGATGGTCCTTCCTATGAAATTCTCTGAAACCAGTCGAAGTGTTGTGGGGGGTGTGGGGGTTAGAAAATCAGATTCCCCTTCCCCAGATAATGCGGTTCTCAATTCTCACTCTTTGGGGAATCAGAAGGCACATAAAAGCTTCCAATAAACATTTTTACTTTTGAATCAGGGTCTCAGAGAGCCCAGGATGTCCTCAAACTCATTTTATATCAAGGATAGCCTTGAACTCCTAATCTTCCCACCTCCCCTCCCCCATGCTGATTCTGCAGGGGTGCACCACCCCACATCTGGATTATGAAGTGTGAAGACTAAACACAGGACTTCGTGCATACTAGGCAGGCAATCTGCCTAAACTGCAGGTTCATCTAATATCTGCAGGCAATAAATATTTCTTTTATTTCTTTAAATTTTATATATATATATATATATATATATATATATATATATATATATATATTTGTGTGTGTGAGAGAGAGAGACAGAGAGAGACAGAGACAGAGAGTGTGGGATCTTGCACACACAATGGCACGCATGTGAAGACCGAAGGACAGCAGGCAGGAATTGGCTCTCTTCTTCCACCACGTGAATCCTGAGGATCAAACCCAAGTTGTCAGGCTTGGCAAAAATCGCCTTTACCTGCTGAACCATCCCTTCCCACACCCAATAAACATTTTTATTTATATTATTTCAAAGTGGGTTTGAGATGAGGAACTCGCTCTATAAACCAGGCTGGCCTCCAATTCACAGGGATCCACCTGCCTCTGCCTCTGAGTACTGGGATTAAAGGCGTGCACCACTAACCATCCCTACCACTCCCATTCCACCCCACCACCACGTGTGTAGCCCAGGCTGGCCTCAAACTCGAGATCCTCCTGCCTCCACCTCCTTTAGCAAATCCTACCAGCATGTACCAGCTTCATTTTTAAAGAATGTATTAGTAAATGTTTATGTTAATGTGAGAGTCCCTCAATGTCAGAAACATAAAAATTACCTGAAGAGTTTTTAACGTGCAGAACTCCAAGACTTGCCTGTCCAGATAAAGGACCCCTAAATATCAAAATGTCATAGTGTTCCACTCCTCATATAATCAGAGTATAAAGTGATGTCCAAGAAGAGAGTGCACTTTCTACCCTAGCCGATGTGTGCAACAGATCCAATAGATACGAAGCTTGCATGTTCCTCTTCCTGCATTAGGCCACCTTCTAGTACGCAGAAATAAATATGACTACATGTGTCTCCTTGTTGCTAGTGTGTTAAACAGACGCCAAGCCTGTCTAGAGGAACATTATGCCTGGTCATAATCCTGTTGTATCTGCAACAGACTCCCTAGGTGGTGTGGTAACCATGGCTACAGGCCCCTATTCCATGAGTACCTTCATCCACAGAACCCTAGGGCTGCTCTGTAACCACAGGAACAAGAGAGGGGGCTGAGGCTTGCTGGGAAATGTAGGGCACCATGAAGCAGCCCCACTAGTCAACTCAAGGGACGAAGAGGAAAAGTCAAAG